TGATGCTTTAAAGAAATAAACCTGACCTTCTTCCATATGATAGGGCAATCAATTTTTGCAGTATCTGTATTTTCAGATAGTTCTGAGCTATGAACCTCTTCTGAGGTTATAATTTGTTTTCTCTATCATCACATTTATGCTATTGGTCCCCTTTTAAACACTGTCTTCTGGTTATAGTTACAGCGGTTTGCTCGTACAATAGTGTAGCATTTTATTAATGCTTGCTTCTTCCTCACTTGTTACTTTCCAGAGACAGTAAATTTACAAAAGTCAAGAAGTTACTATTATAATTTATATTTTGCTTATATTATGGTGTATGGAATGTCACTAATGAAATAGTGTTCTGAACAGCTTCACTTCAAAAGAGCTGTTACATTCATGACTGTAGGAGAAAAGGGACATACGCTCTCAAGGCTGAAATGAGGGATGCCTTCTGTAGCTGGAACTTCTTTATGACAAGTTCTGATTTAATCTTGTCAGGCAAATAAATGTTCATTGTAAACTGTAAAAACTTAAACTGTAAACATACATAAAACTGTGTATTTTTATGCCATTCCCTGAACTAACACATTAGGTAAGGCCCATTTGTAAGATAATTCTACCCACTCCCAATCTCTAATCTCTTCCCTTAATGTACTTCGTGCATAGAGATCTTGGCATACTTTTTGTTTTCTGTCACTTTGTGTCCTTCCCAAGGTGCTTCACAACATGTAATCATTTGAACTTACAGTGGTTAGAAAGGAAGATTGATGATTGACTAGACCTTGTTCCTTAGATATTTCTATCCTGTAGAAGTTACGGATGTGGCGTGGTAATGAGTTCCTGTGGATTTTAGTACTCCCATGGTGGTCAGTAGATTGCTTACTTTTTTGAATGTCTAGAGCTCTCCAAATGAACTTCAGCCACCAGGGGTTTTGTGAACCTCAATTAATGGATGTACACAAATGTTCCTATTTCTATAGCTGACTGACTCCTCGGCCTAAAACTAAAGGAGGTCAAGATTGCTATTCTAGCCAATTCTTCTTTCTCCCCTCATTTCTTCGAATGTGTCATGAGGTGTTTCTTGGCTCATAATAGTAAGTTACGAGTGCTCTCTTGGGATTAGTTGTACCAGGGTAGGATTGCAGGTATCACGGAACAAAGTCTGAAGTGTGGCAAGGGCAGGTATTTCATCAGGGACCACATCCTGAACATTACTTGTTTTTGTTGATAGCTAAGACTGCTTTCAGCAAGAGAAGTCTGTGAACTCGTGTCTCCATTTCAGTGACAGTAAGAAATCGTAAAGATGAAAATTACTTGGCTATTGATCTTTTAGAGCCTGTAGTTACAGTTCTTAAACTTTTGACCCAGGTAGTTCTTGCTTATTGCTAACATGGTTAAGGGTTGATACCACCATCTTCACAGAGACTATTAAAATGCCTTTCTATTTGGTATAAGAACATGTGGTGTGAGCTAGCCAATTTCCATCCATCTCCTTGTAACAGACGTCAGGTCATGAGACTCTAGTCAGGCTCTTGTGTTTAATAACATCCCTTTTTCTGAGATTCAGTGCTGCTCTGTGAAATCCATTTACATTTCTACCAAAGAACAATGTTTTATAAAAAATCTTGTTGGATACAACTTTTATTCATGTATGTTGACATCATAGGTTGTGTATGACTTACCTCCGAGCAAATAGGTAAATGCTTGTAAATCACAAACATTGAATCTTCAAAAAAAATTTAAATTGCATGAATAAAATAAGTTATTTGTCAAACTGTCGTTCTTAGAGAAACTTTCTTTGTGATTCTTCAGTCTGGTCACCTTGTTATAAATTATGAAGCTCTCTTTTCTGGGGTGTTACTGTGGAATTAACTGAGTTGGTCCAACTGACCGTCGTCAGTTTGGAAGACCAGGAAAGCTACAGCCTCATTGTCCTGCTAGTGGACTCAGGAGAGAAAGCATGTGGAAGTGTCAAAAGTTTAAAGCTGAAGTGAAATATCAGTATTACGACTGTTCTTTTGTGGGATAATTATACTTCTAATCCTTTTCTTCTTTTCTTCTTTTTTTTTTTTTTTTAAAGTATGTGTAGTGCATTGTTCAGTTTATCCTCAGATTTGTTGTGATCTTTTGAGTGAGTGTCAGAAGATACCATGAAGTCAAATTGTAAATGAGAACTCCATGCTGCTGGGATTTTTGTGTGTATGTATGTGAGCTTTCTGCTTTTTTAGGGACATATGCAAGTGCAGAATTTTTTTAAATAAAATTTGTTTTTATTAAGTTATCTAATTTGCTAGATATCTAGTATGCTATTGGGAAACTGTGGCCTGGGGTAAAAAAATACAAGAAATAAAACTTTTAAAGTAATTGGCTCTACAATTTAGAATTGATGGTATTTTTTGACTATCTGATTTAAATAGTTTTAACTTTTAATTCATTTACCATGATGTTGCTAAGTGAGATTATTTGTTTTTTGAGGTTAAACAGAAAATCAGCAGAAATTAAAAGAGCAGAAAGTAGATGTACCAAATAATGTCTTACATGTGTTCACCCATTCTTACAGGAGTGTTCAGTATATCTTGAAAAGTAAATGTACGCTAAATTTACCAAGTTGTCTAGATGGAAGACTAACTCTGGTTCTCTAGCAGAAATGGAGTTTAGCCATTAAGAAAATACTGTAGTGGGAAAAAAAAATTATATACAGTTTTTACATGATCTAAGTGATAGATGCATTAATATATGAAGGAACTATGATATCTTTGAGATCAGCTGATGCATTAGAAACTTTGCACATATTTCCCCCCGTATTTAAATGTGAACTTGTGAAGTTCATAATACATAATTTTAAATTTAAAAAAAAGAAGGTGACAATCTGTTGCCCGATTCATAGGGGAACATAAAATGCTACTCGGAATGAAAACAGAAATAAGATGCAAGTATTTTAAAGAGTTTACACTCAGATATTTAACTAATATTTCCACTGTATCTTTAAATGTCAGAGGACAGTTTCACTTTCAGAGCTTACTAGGATCTCTATTTGTGTGAAAAATCACAAAGCAGTTTTTAATGGATGTTTTACAGGAGAGTTAGAGTAATTTTCTGTGCAACGTGAAGTTGACTTAGCTTATCATGGTTTTAGGTCAGGAATCTCTTTATTTTATTTCCATTTGTAAGGTCATCTTGATACTTTATTGTGTTACCAGAGGTGCCATAATGCACACAGAAAAAGGAGTTTTCATATATCATAGTTATTTCATGAAGGTTTGTTTGTTTGTTTGTTTTTAAGTAAAATGGTTGAAGATGTAATGAAACATTGTGAAAATCTGTGCGTGCTTGTGGGCAACCAGTTCATTTTCTGGAGCAGTTTGTTCTGTTAGTCTTTTAATAGTACTGAATTGTAACACTGGAGAAAAATACCAGTGGTCTGTCAGTGGGTATTTCACTGTACAATTTTACTTCACCCCTTTTAAAGTAATAGTGATTATACTATATATAGGCTTTCTTATTTATAGCTGTTTGAATATTATTTTGACTTTTTTATTGAATATATTTTTCTAAAATGATCTTAATGTAAAATGGTGTTTGATTTCATCCCATGCGGTTCTTCTACTGCTCTGACAGGTGCTGAGTCAATGATGCAGTATCATTTTCAATATTTTATTTTTTCTTAACTTAGAATAGGTGGCAAATGGAGCAGTCAGTTATTTTTAAGAAAGTCAAATTGATGGGCCGGTGTTCATCTACTGTTTTATACTGATTATATTTTCTTGCAAGGTTTTGATTGTAAAGGAAATGGGGATTTCCCTTGCTGGCTAAGGTGCTTGATTATTTCACATCTTGCTTCTAAATTTAATCTTTACCAACTATTGTGCTTCCATATTTCAGCTCCTGATTCCACACACATTCCTTCAGTGGCAATGTTGGCTTCAGTGTGCCTGGCTGCTTGTCCCATCCTGCTCTGTCTCTTACGTTGTGCCAACATGGCATCCATTTAGAGAATTTCCCCCCTCTGGCATAGTCAGCAAAAAGCAAAAGGATGGATGTTAAATATGGAACATGCTAAACTTCCATTAGCAAACAAAGAAAACCGTATTGTACTTTAATCTGTCCTCCACTGTTAGAGGACAGTGAAGATACAAGTAGACTATGAAACAATTAAATGCCATCTGATGGATGTCTGAAACAGGAGTTGAGAGGTGCGGGATCTGTCCTGGTTAGCGGCAGATTCTGTGCCTGTGGAATTCGGCATTTTTCAGGATGTTACCGAATCTAGTACTTTGGCCATACAGTTTGACATTCTCCTGCAACTTGACACCAAGTGTTTTGTTTGTCTCTTGCTTTGCAGTTGCTTTGCAGTTGCTTCTTGCAGTCTGATTTCACCTTCCCAAAAAGGAGTTAATCCGAGTCACAGTGCTTGCTACCTATAGCTTGATGAAACTCAGCAACAGGAGTCAGGAAGCTGAGTTGAAGTACAGTGTGTGTTGGAAGAAGGATGGAAGTTAAAAATGTAGGCTAGTGAGCTAAGCAGTTTGTAGGAAGGCGTAAACATTGAGGCCAGGGAAGATCAGCTGCTGAGACTGGGCACTAGCTTTCCTTTTCTTTTGGTACAGTCAGTCCAGAAGGTTGCTGTGAGCAACCTTAAAAGGCAGAACTTGTGTGTTTTTCTGGCTTTCATGGAATGAAAACAGAATCCATGCACAAAATTCATAACTTGGAAAATAGCCCCTGTCAAATTCCGATTGAGTTATGACACAGGTGAAGATGTTAGAAAAGGGATGTTAAGGATAAATAGGAATAAATGGTCAATGAATAATTTGTCACAAATGGGAAGAAGCACTTCAGCTAGGTAACCTTTACATGAGGATGATTTCTCCGTTCATTGTGTATGAAAACTCTTGTGTATGTTAAAACGGTGAAAATATATTAGTGTTTATAAGCTCTGTAAGCTAGGATATGTAGACTAACTGAGGTAAATATTTTCAAGCAATTAACTGCATTAAAAACTCACATTGTCTTTGCAGGAGGAGAGACTTCAGCATGCAAACCTTCATCTGTTCGGCTTGCACCATCGTTTTCATTCCATGCTGCTGGCCTTCAGATGGCTGGACAGATGTCCCATTCGCATCAGCAGTACAGTGATCGTCGGCAGCAGAACATAAATGACCAACAGGTTTCTGCCTTATCATATGCTGACCAGATTCAGCAACCTCTAACATCAACAAACCAGGTAAGTGATAACAAAAGTTGTTTTAGATGTAATAAGTCTTTCTCTAAATATATTATACACCCATAAATTACGGGATCAGGGCTTTTTTTTTTTTTTTTTTTTTTTTTTTTAAACTAATTAACTCCTGACTCTTCAAGGATGGGTGGATGAAGAAGTTTCTGGAAGTTGTTTTTCAACATCTGGTACATATTTATTGTGATTATTCTACTTCTGACATTTTTGAGATGAGAGGGGAGAAAGATTGTCCAAGTGGAGAGTTGGAAAGAGAGTTTAATACTAGCTTTTTTCTTTTTTTTTTTTAGGGCTGTTTGATGTTAGAATGTGATTGCTTTATTACTTGTTCTAATGGACAGTGTTTAATGTAGAGTCACTGGTTAGTGTATTTGGAATAGAGAGGTTTGCACAAAGACACATTTTGTTAAGATACGTTTTCTTTAAAAAAAGCAAAATCTAAAGCTATGCTATCATTGGGGTTTTACTACTACTAGTTTACTGCCTACTGTTGCAAGGAGGTAAAATGAACACAGGGATTGTGATGATTATGGATGCTTTTGAGCTGTCAAGATCAGTGTTTCTTCCTTACTGCTTTTGAGTCCCTAGAACTGCTGAAGAAACTTCCTAACTAATAGTGCTAGGTTGCTAGCCACAAGAGCTGGTATTGTCCTGTGTGAGAGAGAATTTTGTTGCTTTCTTAAAAATGGCACAGCCCAGTTGTGGAGATGTGAACGCAGATAGGTTTCAAAGCTTAAAATCTAGAAGTCTGTAAGTCAGAGCTTCAAAATTTGGTGCAGGCTGATGAGGCATGTTCCACTTAAAGAGGATCGAGAGTGAAGTCTTTTGCTGCTACCAGATTCAGGTCTGTTCTTGTGATCAATATGGCTTTGGTGGGAAATCTACAGTACCATCAAGAGATGCTCTGTTGGTATTGCTCTGTAGGAAGGCACTTATGCAGAAAGAGGGAAGGATTAGAGAGGATGAGAATGGTCAAACTAAGTGCCAGGATATTTGATACTTGGATTTGGAGATCTGTAATGACTAGCGCTCTGTGAAGAATGGCAAAGTGAATGGAGCTGGCAAAGGATGTTTTTGGTTTCATGAGAGCCACTCAGTAGGAAGAGTAAATCTGTTTATTTAAATACTGTGTTTATTTAAATAAATCTGTTTATTTAAATACTATTTATAATAGTATTTAGCTTGAGAAATCTACAGAGGTATTTTATGTGACTTTTTTAGGTTAAAGGTCCCCCAAAACCTCCACAATGAGATTAGTGAATCAGTCTGCCAATTAAGAAAAGTTGCTGTGTTCCTTAAACCTTTCAGGGTACTTACCTAAGCGTTACAATCTGGCATCACATTTGTGAGCTTTAGTGTATATTAGTGCTTAGTTGTTAATGTTTTTAAACCAAAAAGCAGAATCAAGGAACTTGAGGATGTATCACCATCCGTTGCTGTTTGTGGCCACAATGGCTTTAAAATGGTAGATGAATAATAGAAAGCTGAAGAATAGTTCTCGGAGAATAGCCAAGAATTGTTGACCAAAGAATGCAGCCCACTGAGATGAGGATGTAAACGTAGGGAAAAAGCTGTGGTTGGCTCTGGGAAGTTATCCGTATGAAGAAATGGTCAGCTGGCCACCTTGATAACAGCAATCAAGCTGTCTTTGCACCACTAACACTATTTTATAGAATCAATGTTTTTATTCTTCCAGTTCCATCTTGTTTTTTTCTGCATTGTAGTTTCTGTCTTCCTATTTCACTGTAATTGCATTGTTGAAGTCTTTATAGTCCTCTGCCTAAGCAGTTCAGAATTGTTTCTCCTTTATCCTTTGTGAGCTCCTTTCAACACCCTTGACTTTGGTGGTGGGCAACTTTTTGAAGTCTTCTGACGACTTGTCTTTCGTGACTCGTTCCTCCTTTGAGTTCTTGTGCTTGTCCATACAGTTCTCCTCACCAGATTCCGGGTTGGTATGGAGGTTCTATATGAGCCTCTGTTGGGGAGCCTCAATGGCTTTTTGCCTTTGCACTGCACTTCTGGTTAATCTTACTGCAAAACCAAATCCAGCTAACATCTTTATGCAAGTGAGTCAGATCATCTGCTCTAGACCGTGTTTCTGTGCAAAAAAATTTTCTTGTTCTTTCTCTTTCAGTAGTCCTTTTGTCAGCTCTAGTTCATCTTGATTAAAACGTAACTCTGACTGTTTTTTCTTCTTATAGAAGCCTTGACCCTCTATTATTGAAGGCTTTGTGCTGTCTTCTATTTCTCCATTGCTGTGGACTACCATCTTGCCTTTTGCTTCAGATGTAATCTGCATACCATCTAGGTTTTCATGTCTAAATGATACATACATCTTACAGACTCTTTCTTTATGACATTTCTACAGGAATCCTTTTTATTCAAGGTATTGCCTTGAATATGCTGCAACTTGTTTCTCTCTGTCCTTGATAAAAGCAGTTCTGTCCTGTATATGTCAATTCTGAAAAACTCTTGCAGAGGTCATTTTCTGAACCATCCTTGTGTGGTTGTTTCATTCCTGTGTTGGAATCCCACCACTAGTTCTTTCTGTTGTTACGTACTTGTCTGTTATTAAAGCTTCTAACACTAGACTAACCTTTTAGTAATGGCAAACTCTCTTCAGGTGACATACTAATATCTTTTCAAGTACATATGGTTAAGAATATCGTGTTTTTAGCTTGGGCAGCAAAAGGAATAGGCTGAATATCTGTTGTAGAAGGCTTGATAGATTGATCTAATATGGCCATACAAAATAGGAGGAAGAAAAAGGTGACTTTTGGCAGATACAGGAAGTGTGATTCCTAAAGGGGGTAGATCCTTTTATGGATCCAATGTCTTGCATCCAGTCAAACAGACGAGAAGTTAGGTCTCTGAGCTTTACTTTCCCAGAATTTCCTAATGTGACAGTGGTCATCGGCAGCCTAGATGATTGGGTCAGCTTTGGTGCTACCGGTTTCAGCAGCCTCAAAGTAGCCCATTTGGGTGCAAGCGTCCAACGGTTGATTAATAGCGAGTTGCCAGCCCCTTTGCTCCCGAGAGGGCTCCATTACCTTGTTGATTCAGTAGCCAGAAGGGTCAATGAAGCGGGAGTCTCCCAAGGTCGGCGGTGGTTGTGCCGGGACCGCCAGGTAAAATTCTTTCCCGAGCTCCAGCCACCATCTGCTGGCCAGAGCGCCGCACTGCAGCGCCAGCCTTACTGCAAGGCGGTGCTCTGCCTAGGCAAATTGCCTTTTGCTAGGAAAGTCTGCCCTCTCCTCTCTGAAATAGTCCATCGCTTCAATCAACTCGCTTCTTACTAACTAAGCATCTGTGAAATAATTTGCGGAGCAGCTTAGTATATCTTTGAGTGAATCTTTAATTGACGACATCGAGAATGCAAGTGTTACAAAGGTTACTTTCTTGGTTGTTACATTTGCTGAACTTTGTAAACAGATTATTGTGTCCAAATCCAGACAAAATGGACTTGCTTGAAAATAAAACCCAGGCTGAAGTCTCAGCTTTTGGGATACTGAAGTTTTGTAGAAATAATAGATAGCAAGTAGTTCTTCTCTGAAAGTAAATTTCGTTAGGCTGCAGCAAGGTGCTGTAAGGATACTGCTTGTCAGTTGCTAAGAGTAGCTGTTAAGTTTTAGCATGTAGAACAGCAGCATTTTCTGTAATTGATGTCATTTTGATAAATGGCAAAGATGATCTGCCTTATTATGTTTTTTCAGGTTATTTTTGTGTCTTTCTTTTTACTGAGGACTGACTCCTTTTTTGGAGGAGTATTGTCTTGTTCAAGTTCCTGTAATGATTTTCATTCATAACCAAATAATGGGGAAGCTAGGCCTTGAATGTTAATTTCTTGGTTTTATTCCAGCTCTGTCCTGCTTGTTTTTTGATTTGTAATGGCTTGCAGACCATATTCTGGTATTTTATGAATCATTTTCAGTTGCAGATTAAAGGTTAGGAAACAGTAATGACAATTTATATTAAAGTTATATAAATTGCATGTATTTATATTATACGTTACCCTTAAAATATTATTTACATAATATTCTCTTGCACCTATTGCTTTATGGCTATGGTGGCCAAAACTTACTCATCTCATCATTGGCAAGGAACAAATAACAGGAAGATACTTCAAAGCCAGCCAGATTGCTTTGTTTTTCACTTATTTATGAGGTTTTAAATTACAGTTAAAAACTTCCAGCTCTGTCCTTTTTTATTTTTTTTTCTTCAGTAGTTAGGCTTAAGGCTTTTGTTTCCCGAAAACTGCTGGATTGTAAGGGTTTACTTTAAATCTGTGATTCACCAAGTGCCGGGCCTGCTGGCAGGATGGGGTCCTGCTCTTGGTTGTGTGGTTTTACCTCTCTGATGAGTGCCAGAGCCAGCTTCAGGAAAGCAGTAAGAGCGTGTGGCCTAGAGTGAATAGAAAAGATGAGATCTGTGGGACCTTTCTCCTTTGGCAGTAACAAACAGTAGTATTTCTTTGTCCAGTCTCAACTGGTTGCATCTTGAGAATTCAACATAGCCTGATGTGAATATAAGATAAGAGCTTAAAAGTTTTCATAACTTCAAACAAGCATTTCTTTTGTGCTGTCCTAATGTTTATCTTCATCATGGATACTTGGATTGCCTCAAACTTTTTTTCAGTTAAGTACAAAAGATTAGAAAATTGATTTACCTGACAAAGAAGTTGAGGTGAGATTCCTGGGCAGATTTTGGTAACAAATTCCAACAGTTTAGCTTTCATGAAGCACCTGGAATTCAAAGGTCAGGCTGACGGCTAAACATCTTTCTCTATATATGTAACTAAGGTCCCTTATCACGTGCAAAATTCTAGGTTTTACTGACCAGATGTTGGCCAGAGATCTTATGGATTGCAGCTAGATCATTGCAAAGCTAATGTGTTGTGTTCTAGCAGGCAGTAGCAAATCCTTAGTTCAGTTACTTCAGCTACCTAATCAGCAACATTATTATTAGCGATGGTCAGACTTCACCAGACTCTGTCATGAATGTGAGCATGCAGTTCATTTCAGTAAAAGCATTTCTCTCACTTTCCATCGATCTCAGACATTTTTTGGAAAAATATGTTTATGCTCCAGCGACAAGAATTTCAGAGTGGGGTTTTTCATTCCCTTTCTCTTACTGCCCCTGCTTCCCCGCTGCTGCTTTTTTTAAAATGGTTGGGCTGAATCAGGCAGGATAAAATCTTGGCAGATGACCCTTCTTTCCTTGCTGGTTTTATTTATTTATTTAACTTTAAACTTATCTGTGTTTTACTATTACTTTTATTCAGCAACCTTATTTATTTGGGGAAGGAAGCCAGAATAGGAGGGAAATACTCACAGAACACAAGTCAATGATTAAAGTAAATGGACTGAAATTCTGTCCCTACCTGCATACAGTTCTAGCTCTGAGTATAGTCAGTTTGAAGAATAGTCTTGGATTTCTCTTGTTTTGTTCTCTGGCACATACGCTTTTTTCTCTTTGGTCATTTTTCTAAAAAACTAAAGTTTGCTGTGTATTATGGGGAACTGTTACTGTGGCTTGCGGTTATAGCAATTAAACATCTGTTTTGTTGACCCTCTGGAGACACCATCTATTATGTGGCTGCCCACCACAATATGGGATTAGCATTGACTTCCTATCCTGTATTATTGTGATACAAGAAGGGTTTTGAATAGCAAGTGGCGTATGAGATGAGACGGGTCCATTCAGTTCTTTAATATGGGAGTCTATTAAATGGGTCATTACAATTTGAACTCTTGCTAAAAGTTACCCTTATAATAGAAAGTCTTCATTATTTATTCTTTTTGTAAAATGGAACATGTACTATACGCAAGCAGAATTTATCTTTTTTTTTCCTTTTTTTAATAAATGTGGATGGTGATGGATCTTTCTTTTTTAAAAAAAATCTGAATTAAATCATTCCATTAAGAGAATATATATATCTGCTCAGAATTTCCCATAATCAAAATAAAATGCATTTAGTAAGGAACAGTGCCATCTGTTTTTTAGATAACAAAGCATATGTCCAAAGAGAGAGAAATACGTTGTCTGTTCCTTTCCTTCATTCATTAAACCTCAAAGACTATGCTAGTTAAAATAACATACCTGAGTTAAAAGTCATAGTTTCCTTAAAACATGGTTTGTCTCAAATGTGTTGAGTACACATAAGTGGGGCTCTTGGTTGCCTTTTTTTGTGTTTATTTGATTCTGCTTTGTTTAGATTAGTTACAGGTTGTCTCTCAGCACTATGTCATGTTTGTTTGGTTAATAGGTAAGAAAATCAAATTCCAGTTCCTTACTTGTAATTTTCATCATGGTACCATCCCAGGTAGCTGTACTGTTTCCATTGAGGCGCAAGTGTGGACCAGTCAGAATGTGATGGGTATTTACTGGCGTATATAATTGTAATGAAAGTAGTTTCTTGTCTCTCAGTCTTGAAATACAAGCATATATTTTGATTTGTGTTCTATCTTTAAGAAGATCTGAGGTTGCAGTGTTGCTGTCTGGCCACCAGATAGAGACTGAAGCTTGTGCAATAGGATTTTTTTCTTTTTCTTTCCTTTTTTTTCTTCTTTCTTTTTTTTCTTTTGTGGTTGCGCACTGTTTGAAGCCACAAGGGAAATCGGTATTACTGTAGTGATAAAGAATTTGAGAATGTTATTGTATGAAATGGATAATGACAACTTTGTTCCATAGTCTTCCATCATCAGGAAGAGGGGAGCAAGAGTCTCCAAAAGGATCTTGGAAAAAGAGGAGAATGTTACATAGTTTGCAATATAACAGGGGGAGGAAGAAAAGGTCAATTCTTTCTCCTCTCCCACCCATCAGGAAGGGGAGCAAGAGTCTCCAAAAGGATCTTGGAAAAAGAGGAGAATGTTACATAGTTTGCAATATAACAGGGGGAGGAAGAAAAGGTCAATTCTTTCTCCTCTCCCACCCAAAACTTTATGAACCCAGGATAGCAAAATAGTACCTGTTAAAAAGTTCATACAGATTAAAGTGTGTTGTCAGAAACATGTAACTGTCTAAATGCACAATTAAAAGTACAATTTTCAAATAAGGTACTGGCTGCAAGCAGCATAGGAGTAGCCTGCAGAATTTCAATTATTTATGATTAGGGAACAGCAACAATTTAGTTTTGGGGTGGTTTTTTTGTTTGTTTTTTGTTTGCTTGGTGGGTTTTTTTGGTCACCAGGCTGCTTATTTCAGAGTTGAAATTGGAAGATTTTTTAAGTAAGCAAGCAAATTTGACTTATAAATTAGAAAATAAACATGAATACTTGTTCTACAAATTCCCTTTCCAAATTAGAGCAACCTTATGTCTGAATAGTTGATCTGAACTATGGAGTTCTTCCACACTGAGACTCTTTCCTCAAAACTCGTAACCTGCATAACAGAGACCCTGTGCTGATCATGTCAGCCTAGGACAGAGTCTGGTTCCTGTCAGTATTCGTGCACCACAGCATGGTATCTTTGACCAGTAAAATCTACCAGTGTTCCCGTGTTCTAATAATCTCTTTAAGTCAGATTAAGAAATTGAAAGGAAATACTTGCATTTGAAAAGCCTGTAACAGTGACAGTTGGGATTAGGACTAGATGCCATTTAATTGTTTAACAGTGCCGTGGGAGAGAACGAAAAGAGATCATATTTAGGTGTGATTTGTTTAATGGATCACATTTGTTTGACAGATGAAGAAACAAAAATGTTTTGTAAATGTCAAATAGTTTGTTTAGGAAACTTTAAAACAGACTTTCCTGATGTTTACAAAATGGTCGTGCTTGTAATAAAAAAGAATTAAGGAATTAATTTGGTAAACTTGCTCAAGGGAGATTGATGGTAGTGGGCATATCCAAAAGTGAATTGACTGGAACAAACACCTAGGGCATGACTTGTGTTAAAACTCCCTGAGGAAAGTTTAACTGTATTGCATCGTCTCTGAGAAACATTCCCTAATGAAAAAGACCACAAGTCAGCAGTCTTGCAGGGGTGTAAAAATGTTATGTGGGCATATTTGGAGTGGTGTGCATCAAAGCTTTGAATTGCTGTTTCTCGGGAGCCTTCAGCTCCACTGAGTTTTGTACCTGTTGGGAGTCCCAGCCTCACGCAGATGCAGTAAGCTTACTGGAAGTGTCTTGCCTTTCCCCTCTCTGTTCAGCTCTCTTGCTTGTTCACGCTCTGTCTTGCTCTCTCGCTCTTGCTCATGCTCTCTTCTCCCCTGCCCCATGGGGTCTGCGCATCCACCGGAGGAGAGCATGAGCTTAGCTTTCTAGTATGGCTGCTTGGGTGCCTGAGTTCAGGTCCAATTTCAGAAGCACAAACTCTTTATCGCTTCTGTTTGTGAGAACTTCTTTGGGTCACTTCAACGTGATTTTTTTTCATTTGGTCATTGAGCAAAACAAATGAGCTATTTGCACAGCCACCATTATAAGTATTAAGTAATACCATAAAAGATAGAGGAACAGTTACGCTTTTCCAGTTTGTTTATTAGTTCAGCAATACTGATATAAAAATCAGTTTCATTATTTTTATTGATGGCTTATGCTCTTTCCTCAGCTCTGCAGGAGGCTGCATATCAATTTAGCTGTAATAGGAGGCAGCAGATGAGATTAAGCACTTGGAAGTGAAGAGAGTTATGAGCGTGAGCCTATTTGATGGCATGAGATGAGAGTTGTAAGGCTGAGCGTGGTGGCGCTCAGTCACCTAACCCTCTTGATAATGAGTAAGAAAGTAGAAGCAGCTTTAACGTACATGAAACAAGCTTTTCTCCAATGGAATGCTTAAACTTGCCCTGTGGTTTTCTGTCATTGGGAAGAGAGGGAATAAAGAGGCAGTCTAGGGGACCAGTCACACTAACCTCACCACTCTCTCTCCTAGCTCCCCATCTGACACTCTCACGGGGTGAGACAGGGAAGTTGTCAGAGCTTGTCTGGTGGTACAGTTGTGCTGTTAAGTGTCTGCTGAGCAGGTAGTCAGCTTTAGCCAAATGAAATGGTTTGTGACTTAGTTTTTTCTGCCTTCTTTTTACTGGGGATACTATTCACCTCCAGCCTGCCACTTGGAACTTCATCTTTTCAGGAACTTTATCTTCTGAGATTTCGAACAGGTCCTAAGGAGGAATAGGAGTTGATTGGTAGATCCAGAATTTACATGGCGTATGTGTGCAAAGAAAAAAAGAGGCACACAAATAATTTTACACAAATAATTTTATCACACATAAGTCTTGTTTCTTCAGGAAAACATTAAAAAAAAAATGGCCTGCTGTTGAAGATGGTTTTGTTGTAAATGTAGTCAGTTTTAGGAAACACAGACGAGGAACATAACTACCTTTTCAGGGACGTTGTTTTAAAACTTTGACAGTAGGTATGGTGTTCATGTGCGTGCTTTAGATTTCTTTAAACTTTCTTTAGGTTTTAGATTTAGATTTAGGCCTGGATATTGCAAAGCATGGTAGACCTGAGGGGTTTTTTTATTTGGAATTTAACATAGTTTAAATGTGGCAAACTGCCACAGTTCTCCAGTAGTTACTGCTGTTAACTTCCATTTGTGGTTTTAATGCAGCTATACATTAAATATGGTTACAGTTCATACATCAGTCATGAGGTAGAGGGGTAATGTCAGCAAGAATCTCTGTTGTCAAAGGAGCTGCATTTTTAACTGAGGGTAAAACTGTTTATTGGGGTTAAGCCTGTCAGGCATAATGGGAGGAGAGGTAGGAATCCTGGGATTTATTTCTTTTTTTTTATTAATTAAATGTATTAAAAAGTAACTAAACTGCTAATTTATTTTGATTCCTGTATTTGTTGTTCTTTTTTTAATGTCGCTTAAAGAAAAAAATGTTGCAATGAAATAACTCATTTCTGTGAGGAATATTACGATTTGGTGAAGTAATTATATCATTAAAGTCCTAGCTTTTATCCTAAGTTATGATATGGTCATATTACAGAGGCGGATGCCCCAAACTTTCCGTGATCCAGCCACTGCTCCATTGAGGAAACTCTCCGTAGATTTGATCAAAACATACAAGCATATTAATGAGGTAATGGCTCCAGCTATCTTTGTAATGTGTATCGATGTGAAGTTTTTGTTTACAATACATTATTAAGTATATTTTCTATAAATAATCTCATGAAGAAGTAAGAAAAATCAAGCTTTCTCTCTGTTGTTCACATCTCATTTGAGATCATTGAAGTGATGGTCCTGCTTTCTGTCCAGCACACAGGAATTTTTTTATCCTGGAATTTATTTTCTGTTGTTTCATAAACAAATGTTGAGCTTTTCTGTTGCATGATAAAGAAATGAGTGGCACAAACACTATTTTAGCTCGTGCTATAAACCTTTATGAATGTGTCTAAGGACTTCTAAGGAAAATAGTAAAGTGTTTTCCCTAAATTATTTAATTAAATATTATTGGCAAATGTAAAATATAAAAATAATGTGGTTAATATAGGAAAGCATCAGTTAAGTTTCTAACTCTTTGGCAATTGTAGGGCATGTGAAGGGATTTCTGCACTGATTACTGACTTCCTTGGAATTCTTCTTTTCCAGTCTGGTGGAAGGAACAACTGATAACTCTTGTTTCCAGGCTACTTATAATTTTTAATTTTGCTGTGTGTATAGTGTACTGTGATGTATCTTTTCTTTTTGCACCTATGAACTCTAGGGATCGGTGTTATTAGTACATTTATTTAGATCTGCTTTCTGAGTTTTTAAATTACTCATCAATACTTTGCTTTGGTATAATGATTTGACTTCAAATAGAGTGATAGCAGGAGAGGACTGTTTGTTTTACCAGTAGTAGAAGTTGCATTTTAAAATCACAGGATTAGGCATGATGATTATAAAAACTGATTCTATTCTTTATTGAACTGATGTTCTAAAAAGTGCTCTTAAGCAATATACTTTTCACGTTTAGGTTTACTATGCAAAAAAAAAACGGCGGCATCAGCAGGGCCAAGGAGATGATTCCAGTCACAAAAAGGAGAGAAAAGTTTACAATGATGGCTATGATGATGACAACTATGACTATATTGTAAAAAATGGGGAGAAGTGGATGGATCGTTATGAAATTGACTCTTTAATAGGCAAAGGATCCTTTGGACAGGTAACGTGTATCAGCTGAGCAACGTGTAATTCGTGAGAATCATAATATGCATTTCATTTGAAGTGGTATTCCTGTTTCATTTTGAAATTAAACTCTTTTTTCTTAATCCTATTATACTGAGTGCCTGCTCAAGACATCGTATTTTGTGCTGTTTCTTATTACTACAGGTAACATTTGAATATACTTCAGTATGTAGATCTGGTACAGCATTTTGCAATGAGCAAAAAGTCCTCAGCCTTTTGCTATCAGTTCACATTTTTAGCTGTTTGGCTTGGGTTTTTAAACTAAAACAATAGTCTAGTGCTAGGCATTACCTATTACAAATGTTACTTACTAACATTTGTTTTGACTGTTTGTAGCTGTAGCCAAGGCTTGAGGAAAAGGCTGGAAGGAGGATGGAGCTTTTCTTTTGTTGTTTTTGTTAGTTTTTCTCAGATTTTGCCGGTTATTTTACAGCATTGTTTTTGATGATTTGATAATTGCATTTGGATATAATGCTTGCCTTAGCGAAGCCTCAGTGGAGCCTCCGTTCTATTTTGTGACATCACTGCAATAAATGTCACATGATCAATTGTGGCTTTATTGTAGTATCAAGTAAGAGAAGAAATTTAAGAAAAGAAATTTAACTGGAAAGAGCAAAATTTCTAAAAATGTCTTGTCTGAATTCAGAAAGTGAAGAAAGTTTAGAAAGTGAGTTTTGCTGTATTTTGAAATGATGTATTTGACTTTTCTCTTACAGGTTGTAAAGGCTTATGATCGAGTGGAACAGGAGTGGGTGGCTATCAAAATAATAAAAAACAAGAAGGCTTTCTTAAACCAAGCCCAGATTGAAGTGCGACTGTTGGAGCTTATGAACAAACATGACACTGAGATGAAGTACTATATAGGTATTTATTTTTATTTAATCAAATTAGGAATATTTTAGATCTTGCTATATAGCATAGGATGCTTCTGGTGCTAAAGAAATGAAAAGAATAATACAACTTTTAAAATTATTAATATTATTTAGTGCAAATTTTCCAGTTTGTTTTGCAACAGGACCAGATCCAGAAGAAGAATATAGAAAATTATTTGGGATGACAGACTTGTTACTTTGTAGCGTTGAGATCTTTTGAAGAATTTTCTTTTTCCAGTTAATGATATGGACACCTGAAGAAGTTGCCATGGACCGGCTTTTGCACAGAAGCTGTGATCTGTGGTAGTTTGTATCTCTTTCACTACTTTGAATATATCATAAATTATCTCAGAACTGTCAAGGATAAGAGCATGCACGTTTAGTGTAAACCAGCATCATACAGTAGTTTTATGGCTAGCTTAATCATTATTTTTTGATTGTGTGTGTTTGAAAAGCTCAAAATTTTGTATAACAAAACTGAGATAAGACTTGTGTAAATGTTAAGACTTGCCCAGTCTTATAGCTCAGAAAATATTTTAAAGCTTATAATTTTGACGGTTCCTGTAGATTGGAATGCTGTTCCCTTGACTTATTATTATAATGCTACTTGAACTTTGTAATAATGATGAAATTAAGTCAGCTCGTGTAAAAAGCTTATTAAATCCTGTCTATCCTCTGGAGTGGAGAATTGGGCAAAAAGATGATGGTAGGAAAGCAACAGCATGTTGTAAAGAGAGATGGAGAAGTATGAAAAAAGTGATTAAGGAAAACTAAACTGGTTTTAAGCATCCTTTAGTTTGTAGAAACTGAAATACTGACAGCTATGCTTTTCTGATTTGCATGTATATATTGGATTACTAATTTCTCTTTTTGTAGTTTAGAAAGAAACTTTTGAAATAATGTTAATATATATTGGTATTAAATTATCTGATGAGTAGTTACATTTTAACTTGTTTTATAGAATATTATCTTTAGAATACATTTTATGTATTCAGTGTAAAAGTTTCTAAGGTATTTTTAACTTAAATTTATTAATAACATGTTTACATAAAACAAAAACTTAACTTGACAGCATACTACGTCAAAAAGATGTTTCAGGAATGTTAAAGACATGACCAGTTTCAGATTAATATGCAGCAAATAAAGACACTATAGGCATCATCAAATAAGCTCTTGCAATTTTAAATTTTTAGAGAGTTTGTTTGTAACATCAGGTAAAACGAAATGGACCAAAACATCATATAATCTCCCTCTGTGAGTTAAGGCAGGATGGCTTTATAAAGAGAGCAGTGAAACAAAAAAAGGAAAAAAAGTTCTGATAATTTTGAATGGTGGAGAAATAATATATACTGCCTTTGCTTAGGCAGGTGATTTTAGGCTTGTTTCAAGCTGATTTCCAAATCCACTGGGGTATATTTGAATAGTTTCCCTTTATTTAACACAGTATTTAATGAACATGACAGCATCGGTAAAGATCAAAAACCCCAAATAGGTAACATTTTGACTGAATACCTTGTATTGCATGCTGTGCAAAAACTGATCATGGAAAACTGAGGCACTTCACTGGAAAATATTTATATTTACAGGTATAGGAACAGTTGCTCATGAACATACTTTTGCAACAAGACTTAATTGAAGCATTCAGCATATTAATGTAAAAAATAAGTTGTCTGTAGGACATGTGGACAGTTCACCCTCGCATAGGCTTTCAGATACATGATGCTGAGAATAGCTGAATAAGGCTGAAAGCATTGCAAGTATTACAATATACTGTGTGATGTAAAATGTAGCCTTCAGGGTGAACATGGTTAAATACACTGTAGCCTGAGTTTTAAGGACATAAAGTTTAACCGCTTACGCTTCTGTCAGATCTCCTCTAGTACCTTCTGACTGGTCTCCTTCAGATCTAACACAAGTGTAAGAATGCATTAAGGTCTTCAAGTTTTGTGAAAATTGGTGGCAGAGTGAAGGAGAAATGTTCAAACGTCATGCCTTCACTGAAGGAGAGATGTGGCAAGTTCAGCTCTTATCCAAACTATTTGAGCTGTGTGGCAGTTGCAGGTGGTACTAGCTGGCCAGTAGCATGCTGGCCAGTTAGAGTAAGTGGCGTTTCTTGCCAAGTTGGCAGGTCTAGCAAGCTTAGGTGGTGTGGGAAGGAATTTGAATTAAGTGTAGGAAGACCACAAGGACATGAAAAGGTGCTGGTGCTTTCATGGTGGGAGGATAGTGGAAATGTGGCAAAGATGAGAAAATACGAAAGGTCTAGACAATGATGTATTGCAGGAACTGGCATCAGGGTGGAAGCAAATGGTATTGTTACAGGTGAGTTGTAAGGGACACATGAAGAACTGGCTTATGAAAATGGAGGAAAAAAAAATCCATAGGACACCCAGTAATAACCTTAATTGAAAGTCTAAATTCTCATTGTGCTAATATTGGTTCAAGATTTTACTATGACAAAAAGGGGAGTGTGTTGCTTTTTATCCAAGGGCTGAAGTATTTTTCCTATTTCAATTTTCTTTTACTTGTGGCAACCAACCTGAATGATTGACAGACTGGTAAACCCTGCTTGCCTCTAAACAGATTAATGTGATGAATTTTTCACCTATTTTGTGAAAAAAAATTCATTGGATTTGGACTGGATTAGTTGCTTTCATACATTGAGATTATGCCTGATTGAAATGAATATAATGCCTTTGGGATATTGATCAGTTTTATTAATTGAAGTAATCAATTGAAGTCACAGCTTAAAAATTGCAGTAATGTCTTAGTATATTTTAAACGAATCTGACAGTCAAATATTTTCTCTGTAAATGTAAGGGAAATTCCTAATAAAAAATTCAGTCTCAAGCGCAATATCTGCTTTACTGTTGAGAATGCCACTGTATGTGCACTTTTTTCCAATCTGCTTGGACTTAAATACAATTTTAGCTTTAGGAGCATGGAGAAATGAACTCTTCCCTGAAAAAGATAGAAAGTATTGTGACAAAGGTTGCGTTACACAGAGTTTGCGCTTCTTGTCTTTTTTTGCTGATATTTTCATTTACCCACAAATGTGTTTGCCTTTGCTAATAGGGGAGCGATAGCTTATTTTGAAAAAATATCTCTTCTGTCTTTTAAATACTTTTTTGGTTAATATAGCTTTACTGAGGTACACCTGAGGACACTTCAGATGTGTAAAATGTCCCCCCATACCCTAGGCATGACAGCAATATTCTGTAAATAACCATAGATCTAGGAAAAAAAAGTAACACTGTATTATCTTACTCACAGGTCAGCTTCATACCTATTGATTAAAATATTTAAGCATTGTGTTGTAATTAGAATTCAATACTTACCACACAGGATATGTGTTAATTATTTTCTTCCCCTTTTTAAAGTGCATTTGAAACGCCACTTCATGTTCCGAAACCATCTCTGCTTAGTCTTCGAAATGCTGTCCTACAATCTGTATGATCTGTTGCGGAACACCAACTTCAGAGGTGTCTCATTGAACCTGACACGAAAGTTTGCACAGCAAATGTGCACTGCACTGCTTTTTCTGGCGACTCCTGAACTTAGTATCATTCACTGTGACCTAAAACCTGAGAATATCCTGCTCTGTAACCCCAAACGAAGTGCTATCAAGATTGTTGATTTTGGCAGTTCGTGTCAACTTGGACAGAGGGTGAGTATTAGTAAAAATGCTAATTATGCTACTGTTGGATACATCTGAAAAATTTTAATATTTTTAAGTCATAATACCTAGATAGCTAATTTAAACTTCATTAATGATGACTTAAATGAAATAGTAGCTAATTTTTACATAGGGTGTTAGAGATCAACAGTCCATAGGAGCTTTAAATACGAGTTTTAGTGCCATAGTAGATAGTTTCACCACAGTGATAAACTTTCCATCTTTCTTTTCTCCTTGGTTATGTTTTTATGCTATGTTAACGCAGAATGCATCAGCACTTGATTGTAGAAGTCTACAGTGCTATTAAATAAAATACTCTTATTATTTTCTTATTCCATATGTATTACTCCTTCCACTTCAGCATGTCCTCTATTTAGTGTGCCTTGGAGATAAGAAGATATTTGAGTGTTAAGACAGTGCAGTAGCTGGCTCTTAAAGATACTGGTTATAACTAACCCATTTTTAGAAACACTGTAACGACTGTGGAAAGACTGAATTGAGTTTAGTGGTGGTATTACTATGAGTAAAGATGCATGTGTGCAAAGCATTTCCAGGACAAAGGGCCAGATTGCTTTCTGTCGACAGTTCTTCAGATTAGGATAGATCTGTACTATTAAATAGTTGTCGAAAAATTTGTAATTGTGTCCTGTTGTTCATGTACTTTGAAGATGAGTGCATTTTTTTATTTGAGCTGTTAGAATCTGTTGAGCGTAGTCTATCCGGCATAGCCAATTAGCTCTATATTTGCTTTAAGAAATGTTAAAATACATGCAATAACTATTAATATATTAAGATCATAAATAATTCTGCTTGGATGCCAAAGCCTGTTTTCTTTAGGAAAAGCTTTGAATCATATTCCTCAAGTGTTTGATTTGTACTGACAATTTGCTCACTGAAAAGTTTATCAGGACGTACTGTTCAGCTTGCACCTTATAGTCTAGTACAAATAAGCTTTTTCCTGGTTGAAAGAATTATATTTGGCTGAGCAAGTGACCGCTTCCGTTCAGGGTACCTTTGCTTTAGTAGTCTGCGCTGAAAAAAAATTGTTAGCTAGAGAGGTAAGGAAGGCTTCTATAGGTAGAAGTTAGACTTTAGTTTCTTTGAAAAAAGGATTTTGAACCTTCCCAGGTCAGTTATGTACCTTTGGCAGTTTTATCTATACATTTGTGAATGGTATCTTTTTGCTTTGAGAAAGCTGGGTGTTAAAAAAACCCAAACAAACCAACCAAAAAACCTCCCAAAAATATGCAATGTTTGCAAAAGAGATGAAGTTTCAGAAGTATGACTAGTAATACTGCAGATGGGATCATTTTATGAGAAGAATTAAGAAACTTCATGGACTAACTTTAACAGAAGTCCCCCAATTCTCTTTTGAGGAGTTGGGACTGGCCAGTAGCACCCTGTTGCTTTTTCCCCATAGTAAGTTTAGGAAGGGCAGGTCAGAATATTGAATATTGTATTGAAAGCAGTGGTGAGACGTATTTAGATTAATAAAAGGGCTTTTTGCTATAAACTAGAAACTTTTCAGCCCAGGGTGAAGGAATACACCAGGAATTGAAATGAGATCTTGATTGTTTAGGTCAATAAGAAGATAATTTTGAGACGTTAAGAAGCACAAATACAAAAACCTAGTGTAATTCCTCATTAAAGTTAACTTAAATAGCAGTAAGGAAATATCAGTACCTTTGTGGAAAGTGCTGGATAAAATTGCATGTTACTTAGAATATAAAGTATGGTTCTGTTTTGTTGTTTTCTTGATTATTGCTAAGGGTTTTGGAGGTTTGGTGGGGTTTTTTTTGTTAAGTTTTTTCGTTTCTTTCTTTCTTTTTTTTTAATATGCTTACGGTTAAGCCAGTCTCCAGGTTTAGAAACAAGAGAGAATTATGTGTCTTGAAAAATGAGCAGGATAGTTGGGGGGGGAAGGAGGTTGCTTTTCCCCATGTGTTGATCTCTAGTTCCTGGAATGACCCGATAATTTAATCTCATTTCATCACACCATAATTGTGGCTTTTGATCGTTTGCTATAGGTTTTTTCTGAAGTATGTGATTCTGATGTGGCTTGTGGAATAGTTTTTTTCTTTGGGTGATACCAGACTAAAATCTTGTTGTAGGATCACCTGTAATTGCATGAGATTACACTTATCAACCCTAAAGTGTAAAGTACTGTCATCATGAGTGAATTTGCACTTCTTTTCTTTTCTCCTTTTATTTTTTTTTTGTGAGTGTGAATGCTAGTATTTTCTTAAGACTGAACATTTACATACTTTTATAAATGTAATGTATAGATACTTTTTAGTATCACTGATACCTTGGCTTTTCCTACACTAAAAATGTATTTCATGGTAGTTCTGTTTTTCAATACAGAATCATAATCGTGCTCTTTGGATTCTGTGTATTACCTTTAGATACTTTTATTTCAGATATACCAATATATCCAGAGTCGTTTTTATCGATCACCAGAGGTGCTACTGGGAATGCCTTATGATCTTGCAATTGATATGTGGTCCCTTGGGTGTATTTTAGTTGAGATGCACACTGGAGAGCCTCTTTTTAGTGGGGCAAATGAGGTATGCAGCTATATTACAGTACAAGTAATCTGATTTTTTTTGTTTTGTTTTGTTCATTCTCATCAAGACTTTCATCTGTTTAATTATAATGCATAAATTAGGGAAGTCTAGTAATTCTAAAATGAATAAACATCAATGACAGCAATATCTTTTGTCAGAAATCTAAATTGCTTGTTAATACTTTTCTGTTTCTGGGTCCCCCCTTACTTCTTACTCACTGATTTGTTCTGTACGTACTGGATTTTCTTAAACTCACAATTAATTTAGAACTTGTCTGGGTAGTTAACATTTGCTTCCCATGTGACTATAGAATATCACTCTGTCACACTGCTCAGCTGTCTGTCACATGTTCTTCAGAAATATTCTTTGTTTGGAACAGGTGGATCAAATGAATAAAATAGTGGAAGTTTTGGGGATACCACCTACCCACATCCTTGACCAAGCACCAAAAGCAAGAAAGTTCTTTGAGAAGTTGCCAGATGGCACTTGGAACTTGAAGAAGACCAAAGATGGAAAAAGGGTAGGTTACATAACTAGGATGAGAATATGAACTGTCTCTTTAAAAAAAAAAAAAAAAAAAAAAAAGGTGAGGTGTTACTTTGCTTTACATCTTGCCTTACTGAAAATGTAGCTTTATTGTTGTTTGTTATTGTTCCATGTTGTAAGACAGGTTGATTAAATAACACTTTCCGTAGTGTTGAATAGTTTCTTACTTTTATTTGACTTACTTCCTTTTATGGCATGTTTAAACTGTGCACATCCAAGGCTTAATATGTAACTTGATTTCAAGCAATTTCTAACTTCCCAACAGGAATACAAACCACCCGGCACTCGTAAACTTCACAATATACTAGGAGTTGAAACAGGAGGACCAGGTGGACGTCGTGCTGGGGAATCGGGTCATACTGTAGCTGACTACTTGAAGTTCAAAGACCTCATCTTAAGGATGCTTGATTATGACCCTAAGACACGAATTCAACCTTATTATGCCCTACAGCATAGTTTCTTTAAGAAAACAGCAGATGAAGGTACAAACACAAGTAACAGTGTGTCTACGAGTCCTGCCATGGAGCAGTCGCAGTCTTCAGGAACCACCTCTAGTACATCTTCAAGCTCAGGTAAGTTTTTCTCATTAACAGATAACAAAATTATATTTCCTAATCACATCTAAGGAATCTTTCCCAGGTAAATGTAATCTCATTTTTTTTGTTAAAAAACACACATGTCAGTCATACTCATCAAAAGAATTATTTTAATCAGCTGGAACAGGTAACTGCTCCAACAAAAAATTAAAAGTAGATGAGCAAAAATGTGTGTGATTATCATAGGTCTTGTATTTATTTTTACCTTGAAGCAGTTTAAATATCTTCATGCTGTCATTGTTTTGCAGCTTACTGTAAATTTTGTGTCTCTTTAGTTATTGTGCATGTTATGATTTTATAGGTGGATCTTCTGGAACAAGCAACAGTGGAAGGGCACGATCAGACCCCACACACCAGCATCGACATAGTGGTGGACACTTCACTGCTGCTGTTCAAGCTATGGACTGTGAAACACACAGCCCACAGGTATGCTTAAGTAGAGCTTTGGTCTGTTTGATTTATGTGAATTTTCTGAGAATATTAAATCCCTAAAACTAATTAACACTTTCATTTCAGGAGTGAAGTGGTTTAGACATAAAACCAAACCTGATGGCTAGTTCTTTTTTTACCCCCAACTCTTGTATAGTCCTCTGTATGTTAGGTCAGTCATTTAGGCAGAAGTACTGCAGGCAGCTGTAAAAAAATTCCATAGATTCTGCAGAGGTGAAGGTTTTGAATCAGTAGCCATAAATCAGGTGGAGCTGTCAGTGCTTCATCTTACACAGGGCGTAAGGGTACACAGAACTATGCATCTTCTAACCCAGTGAAGAACTAATTTGTACTACAGTAGACTCTGCTGGAGTTCTTACTTCCATTTTATGGTGTTCAGGTACTTCACCAACATTATCATTGGCTGAATTAGTGTTTATTCAGTACTTCTACTTGGAAAGAAGCAACAACTCATTTATTAACTACAAATAGAATCATAGAATCATTAAGGTTGCCAGTGAAGAACTAATTTGTACTACAGTAGACTCTGCTGGAGTTCTTACTTCCATTTTATGGTGTTCAGGTACTTCACCAACATTATCATTGGCTGAATTAGTGTTTATTCAGTACTTCTACTTGGAAAGAAGCAACAACTCATTTATTAACTACAAATAGAATCATAGAATCATTAAGGTTGGAAAAGGCTTCTAAGATCATCAAGTCCAACTGTCAACCCAACACCACCATGCCCACTAAACCATGTCCCCAAGCGCCTCATCTACACGTCTTTTAAATACCTCCAGGGATGGGGACTCAACCACTTCCCTGGGCAGCCT